GAAAACAAAGTTTACAGATAAGGAATCTGTTCCCCATTCCCTTCAGCAAGCTCTAGTATACGCACATCAGGATTTTTACCAAAACGTAAGACAGGTTCTTGTGCTTTTATAAACTCTTCCAGTGACGAGCGTCTGCTGTGAACGTTCTTTTTCTGCCCTGAGACGACTGAAAACTTGGGAAAGAGCATGCATGAGTGGCAAGACACTGTGCGGTCTTGCCATGCTCCATGTTCATCGCGATAAGGATGTCAGCAGACCAAATATTCTGAAACGATTTGACGAAACCGGCCATAGAAAAATTGGCAAACTCCAATTTGAATAACAATTTCTACTGAGTCGATGTTGTTCTAGGTTCTGGCGGCAGACTCAAATTAATATTTGGATGTTTATCTGACATATAAATTTAAATAAAGTTGTTAAAAATTTGGTGTTAGTACACGTCTTAAAATATGAAAAATATATAAAAAGTGTCCAAAATTAAAACGATGTCAAGCTCTCTAGAATTGCCTAGAATGCAAGATTTTGCACTATCTATCCCACCCCTGCCAAAATTTTTGCCTTGCTTCACTCGGCTCAATTTTTTTTCGCTCACTCCGCTCAGCAAATAGTCTGCCTCACTAAAATAATATGCCCAGTTACGGCCTTGTAGTTTTTATTATCAAAGTGTATCAACTGAAACAAAAAAACACAAAGTACATGTGACTCCATATAACAATACCCAATGGTTGACTGAAAGCTGAGGAGAAAATCTGTCATATTTTAGGATTCTTTCATACTCCACAGCCAAAATTAAGTAAAAAGTGCACCAACCAGAATAAGCTCATAGGTCATTAAAGCTACTCAATACATGCATTCAATTACATGTATAAAAAACAAAAGTGCATACGTTGAATTGTCTCACCTTCTTTACTGACCATTGATTTCATGTTGAAAGTCTTAAAATCATTTCATACACAAAATATAGTTGACTTACTGCTTGTAGTATTTGAAAAACAGTCAAAAACACAAAAACTTAATATTGACCAATGAACCATGAAAATGAGTTCAAGGTCAGATAATACCTGCCAGACAAACATGTACTCCTTACAATCATTCCATACACCAAATATAGCTGACCTATTGTTTATAGTACTTGAAAAACAGACCAAAACACAAAAACTTAACATTGACCAATGAACCATGACATTGAGGTCAAGGTCAGATGAAACCTGCCAGACTGACATGTACCCCTTACAATCATTCCATACACCACATATAGTTGATCTACTGCTTATAGTTTCTGAGAAAAGAACCTAATCATGTAACTTTAACCTTGATCACTGATCCATGAAATGAGGTCGAGGTCAGGTGAACTCTGTCTGACGGACATGCAGAAATTGCAAGGAACCCATATACCAAATATAGTTATCCTATTCCTCATAATAAGTGAGAAATTCGCTTGACAATAAAATGTTCGGCGCGGCACAGCTTGATGTGACTGCAGAGGTTGAACCATGAACAGTTGGGGCAAGTATGGACACTACATTCAAACTTGATACAGCTCTGAATTTGGATTGTGATTTTTAAATATTTGATGCATCATAAGTTTCTGTCACAGAATAAATGTGGTCAAAGACCTGTAAATTTTGAAATTGGACTTTTACCTATTATCAGTCAGGGGACTTACTTATATGAGTGATTTTCTAAATCACTGATTCAAGTAACATTATGTCCATAAAGCTTGGAAGTAAGAGTTGTCTTTCTTTAATAATCACCTATTTAAGTAGTACATATTAATCACTAGACTAAGTGATTTAATTTTATTGTAGCTTTAAATATAGAATACTAATGATCCAGGGACTAATAATGTTGCTAAAATAATCAGAACCAACATCTGTGTTGATAGGATGACCGGGTCATGTCAGGTGATGACCTTGTACTAAACCTAGGATTTTGACATAAAATTCACTTGTTTAAGTATCATACCTCGATTTCCTTCCAAAAAATCACTTCTTTAAGTATCATTATTTTAATAACCCCTACTAATTTCAACACCCCCAAACAGTGAAATTTTGATCGCAAACAGTAGAATTTTATTACATAATCTATAAGATGAAACCTTGAACTTTACAGGAAAAATACTCCCACTGCTGGGAAAAATCTGTTAAGAAAGTATCAGTTCATTATGTAAAGCCATTTTTATAGCATTTTTTCAACTAAAATAGAATTTGCAGCTAAATGATTGCATCAAAGGCATAAACCTTGCTGCTTAAAAGAAGCAAAAAGTTCATTTTTTTAAATTTTACTAATGAAAAGATATTATCTAAACCTATGTGTTTAAAATTTTGGTAAAACTACAAAATCACAATTTGTGACAAAACTTCGAATTTTCTACTTAAATAAGTGATTTAAAAATCACTTATTTCAATAAGTCCCCCGACTGATTATGCTCCAATATCCAAAATCTAAATACACGGTTAGATTCAGCATATCATAGAAACCCCAAGAATTTAAATTTTTGATGAAATCAATCAAAGTTTTGTTTTTTATCCTTTGGACCACAATGTGGACCAATTTGATAACAGACCCCAAAATCCAAAATCTAAATTCACAGTTAGATTCAGCATATCAAAGAACCTCATATACATTCAATTTTTGTTGACATAAAACAAAGTTTAATTTTGGACCCCAATTTTGACCAACTTGAAAACTGGGCCCAAATTCAAAAATCTTAATACATGTTTAGATTCAGCATATCAAAGAACCCCTTGAATTCAGTTTTTGTTAAAATCAAAAAAAAAATTAATTTTGGACCCTTTGGACTTTAATGTAGACAAATTTGAAAACAGGTCCCTAAATCAAAAAACTAAATACACAGTTAGATTCAGCATATCAAAGAACTAGAAGAAATCACATTTTTTAATATAAAAAAAGCTAAATTTTGGAGCCTTTGGACCTTATTTGGACCTTTATGTGGACCAATTTGAAGACAGGCCCCAAAATTAAAAATCTATATACACAGTTAGATTCAGCATATTAAATAACCCCAAAAATTGAAGACTTTGAATTAAAACCCCATTGAAATTGGTCAAGAAATAACCAATTTATACAAAGTATTACAAAAGTATTGTTTTTGGACCCTTTTTCCTTAATGGTTATTATCATAACCCCCTAAATCAATCCCAACCTTCCTTTTATGGTATGGAACCTTGTGGAACATTTTCAAAGTGGTTCATAGACTTACATGTATACTCAAGTTATTGTCCAGAAACCAGAAAATCCTAGTTTTTTGGCCGCTTTTCAGCCTCTAATTCCTAAACAGTTTGGGCCATGACCTCCAAAATCAATCCCAACCTTTCTTTTGAGGTATAAAACCTTGTGGTAAAATTACATAGAGATCCATACACTTATACACAAGTTATTGTCCTGAAACAAGAAAAATGCTTCTTATTGGCCCCTAATTCCTACTCAGCTAGGACAATAACCCCCAAAATCAATCCCAACCTTCCTATTGTGGTATGGAATCTTGTGCTACAATTTCATAGAGATCAATACCCTTATACTCAAGTTAACATCTGGAAACCAAAATGTCTTTGGACTACAAACTTTTTGGCCCCTAATTCCTAAACAGCTAGGACAATAACCCCCAAAATCAATCCCAACCTTCCTATTGTGGTATGGAATCTTGTGCTACAATTTCATAGAGATCCCTTATACTCATGTTATTGTCTGGAAACCAAAATGTCTTGGGCAACGACACAGACATCGCCATAATATAATACGAATGCAAAAATTTTGCGGTCGTATAAAAAAAACTAATTTTTTTCAAGCAGTTGTGAACCATGAAAATGAGGTCAAGGACAATGGACACATGACAGACGGAAACTTCATAACATAAGCATGAATAGGTATCTGCCTACAAGGTATGAAGCATCCAGGTCTTCTACCTCCTGAAATATAAAGCTTTATACAAATAGTTTACGCCACCACAGCCAGTTAGTAATCCCTTTGTCTCCCATACTGTGACTTTCATCACAGTCGAGACAAACATAATAGATGTGCTGATATGACCTGCAGCCTAGTTGTGAAATGTACATTTCTGGGAATTGAAAGGTAAGATGTTCCAGGGACATACATGTACACTGGCAACATGGTTTATGGGTTTATAGTGTGGCTACTATGGTGATACGGAGAACAGATGTTGAGCACAAGAAAAAAAAATCAAACTTAAATCTGTGGAAAGTACAATTTTCATAAAATATTCTGAGTCCAATGCCTGAAATTCACCAAAATGCCAGCTAACTAGAATGAAAAGGAAACTTGATGTAGTATACCATAAAAAGAACATAGCAGTTTATCGGATATGTAATCTATGTTTGTTTGAACAAAAAGATCAAGAAAGCACATGTTGTCGTCCTTGCATACCAAGAAAGCACATGTTGTCGTCCATGCATACCAAGAAAGCACATGTTGTCGTCCTTGCATACCAAGAAAGCACATGTTGTCATCCTTGCATACCAAGAAAGCACATGTTGTCGTCCTTGCATACACAATTTCAAAATTCAGAGTATTGAAAAACAGGAAGTACACGTGTAGGTGTCTTGACAGATCTGAAAAGCACTAAGGTTATAACTTATCACTGCCTGCGAATTCCACCAAAGTTGTAGGTCAGATTTGAACATGTTGGAGCCACATCTAAAGCACACTTATCATCCCATGAGACAAAGAAGCTGATAACATTAATTCTCTAAAACAGGTCAGCTAAACAGTTTCACCATCAACCATTGTAAATTCATATATTATTGTCATGTGTTTACTATTACCAAAATTGCAAATGGATAGGTTTCACAAAAATAAAAACTTAAATTTTGATAGCTACGTTGTATGCAACATTTCATGAAATCACAATGATTAATCTCACATTTTTGTTTATTGTTGGGCAATTAATCACAGTAATAATCGCATGCAAAAATGTCTGAATTTACAGTATCAAAATTGTCATTAATATATAAGTAACTTACTGGACTTCTCTTTTTTAATGTGAAGTTTTTCCACAATAACAATCTATACTGGTGAATAAATCCCATCTCATTCTTAGTAAAGTTCTTGATCTGCAAGATATCACAACAATTCTTATTAGAATTAAAGTAATTAAGTCAAAAATTTATATTACAGGAGGGGATAAGGTTGTTGCGCAATGCCAGGTGGTGTTGCCGCAGAAGTGAGAGGAAAAAGTACAGGATCCAGCCCCAATTGGGGAGGAAATATAGAATCAGATCCACTCTAACATTGCATATGCACAACATTTTGTACTTTTAATGTTTATGTCACATATGTACCTAAAATGCAAACTGACTGTTACATATTCAAGTAAACTGTGGGCAATAAAATTGCTTTTATTTAGTATTTTATCAGGTGCATTTATAACATTGAAATAATTGATATACATGTACATTTTTGTACATGTAAGGCAAACAAAAATTACACAAGATTCCATATTAGAAAAGGTAACTAAAGCCTCTAAGGAGCCTAAATTGCTCATCTGCCAAAATAATGTCAAATTGATATCTGCGTAAAATTTCTGATCTCCAATGCAAATTAAATGACAATCCCTTCATCAACAATTGTTTTCAAGATATATTGTAATATCTACAAATGCTAAAATTTCATAAAATTCATTACCAAAGGCCAATAAATCCAATGAGAAATCAACTGTCAGTTTTGATGCATCTACATGTACAGAAGATCATGACTTTCCAAACATTTTCTCCTGTCAGATTTCCCTATAGATCTATTTATAGTTTTCCAGATATTAGACAATTATTTACATTTTAACCTTAGTATGTTCTATTTTTAGTTATGGCAGCCATGTTGGATGATAGATTGAGTTTGGTATAAGAGTACATATATTGTTCCAGATGTTTCAGAGATCTTTGAAACCAAAATGCAAAATTTGCATGCTGTGAAATATCATAAAAAGATGAAAATTGATTTAAGGGCAATAGGGCCAATAAACAAGTTTTGGTCATTAATTTGACATAACTGTAGAAATGGTATAGCTGATTGTTTTTGTGATGTTCAGTTTCTGTCCTATAAAAGTTTAGCAGATAATAGGAGATATGCCACAATTGTTACTTTAAAAATCTTCATTTAAGAGACAAAACTTCTATAAGGAGTCAATGGAGTCAATAGATGTTAACAGTCATATTCATATCTTTTTAGATCTCGTATTGCTAATAATTTTTTTCTGTTCACAGTTTCTTTTTCTTCCACATCACAATTTTTTTTTGTATTTAAGGGCAATATCTCCTGTTAGGAATCAATTGCTTGTTTCGATCATATTTAATTGGTGAGCAGATATGTAGATCTTGTTTATTGATAATTTTTTTTATTCTTTTTACAGTTCCTATAGATCTACAATTTTTGGGGGGAATCATCAGGTTTTGTCACGATGATACACATTTGGAGGCTGAACTTTCATTGGTTGACTTAACAATTGTCAAAACAAAAAGTAGAACTGAGCATTGTTAGATTCTTGTAAGTAAAGCGTGGATACAGATCTGTATTTCAATAAGACTGACATTTGAGTACTGTAAACAGGAAAATTTTCGCTGCAGTTTTATTTTCGCAATGAAGAGTGGAAACGCAAAAATAAAACTTTCTCCAATATTTCAAGGAAAACTGATTCATAGAATGAAGACCATTCATTAACATATACGAATAGGAATATGCAAGGTCCAATTTATAACGTTTTTTTTTTCAGACGAGAGATCTATATCACAAGCTAAAACTTAATATCTATATGAAAGGCAGTATAAAAAATAAAAAACTTTTAACTCATGACAGTCAAATTAAAATGAAATCTATTTTTAGCAAGCAGAAATTATTGATATTTCTATATAAACAAAACTCATGACAGTTAGGTAAATGACACCTTCAATCATTTTTCAAATAATTACCACATTGTACCTGCTTCACTGATTAATTATATGATCAAAAGACTGATTGATCATTGTGTTCCTCGCAGCTTCTTGTTTGCTCTTTCTAAAGCTATTATTTTATGTTAATTGTTTAGGTATGTGTTTTTACAAGTAAACATACATGTAGCAGTTTAAGTGTACTTAATATACATAAGTCATTTCACAAATAACTTGCAATCTACATATACTTAATGAAGCGACAAAAACTTGACTTTTTTTAGACAAAAATGTTTTTTTGATCGATTTTCAACTCTATCTTGACAATACATGTACAACTATGCTGTTTTAAAATCATGTATTCAATTTTGTTCAGGCTTTCTACAAATCATGAATTCAAAACAGCGCAAATTAAGATTCAGTTGGTAAATTGCTAAAATAAAGATGGCGCGAAAAAAATTCCCAGTTTACAGTTTTCATTTTGAAATATTTTACATGAAATTCTTAACAAAAAGGATTTTACATTTGTACCTAGTGCTATGTATGCCCTTTGGAGTATGAAAAAGAGGAGATAAAACTAAAAAGGAGCTGTTAATTATGAAACACAATGCAGCAATATGAAATTACAGAGAACATCTAGAGGTCAAAATGTAGTCTTCAACAATATACAATGCTATGATTTAAGGTAAGGTATTTTAAAAATTTGAATGGATTCTGAAAAAAAAATATGTATGTGCCTGTATACTTTACAGTGCATAGCTGATTCAGGAGTAAGGAATGATGTTGTTGGTGTAAAATGCACCTGGTCAAGGTATGGGAACTAGTTTAAATTTTTCTTTAATGGAGCTGAACAATGTTTTCAGGGATTTGGTTGGCAAGTAAATCATAAAAATCATCATTAACCTCTGAATTCCAATGGGGATCATAGGAGATGGCAGCATTATTGTGCATGTACAAACACAACCTTCAGTGTTTTGTTTCTAGTTTGCTCTTATTTCAATTATTTAATGATGCTGCTTTTGTCTCTTTGTCACCTTTTTCATAAAATGTGCTTTTAGTTTGCTTGCTTTGATTTAAGTTTGTTGCCTACTTATGTTATCCATGTGCTTTATTTATTTGTGTGCTATACTCTGTCTTATTTATTTTTTGTTTTTATTTTAAATACCAAGTCTGTTTAAGAACTCTACAGAGTTCATGATACTATGTTACATTGTAATAACTATATTGACAATGCATATCGGAAAATTGAACAATAAAAACAAAAGTCTGTTAAAAATTTAATAAATCTTGTGTAACAACAACGTAATATTACTGTAGAAACAAATAGTATTGTTACATTCGTAATTAATCGGCTCCTTACCCTACCTAGCATTCCGGCAATTAACAATTTTGGTTATTGTGACTCTTTCAACATAATCACAGCAAGTTCCTTTTATATAAGGCCTTATCCTAACTCTTGTTTAATACACACTGGTCGACTTATTAAGCTGATAAAAAATTTTGTTAATCATTGTAAATTAACTTCTTTTACACATTTCCTACCTTATTCATGTTATTTGTATCAAATAATTTACATTTATATCAAGAATTGTATGTTTACTCAAGGATTTGTATAGTATTACTATATTCCATACTATACTATATAGTATTACTATAGAAATCCTTGGTTTACTAGCAATGTGCGCATGCAGTATAGTTTCTATGCCCTATACTGAAAAATCCTATATACAGACATGGATAGTATGCTGCACTATGGTAGTAAACATATTCAGTGTGGAAGGTATTCAGGCTGGTAGCACACAATTAACCTGTTACATAAAAACTAAAACAAGGTTGAAGTTAAATAATATCTGGAACACAACATGATCAAATAATTATACATATACCATCACCTTTCAATCCCTTAATGCTTAATGTTTTGGAATTAAGTGATTTTAAGACAATTTTAAGAAAGTCTTTCACCAATTTTACTTGCTTTAAATACAAATATACATCTATTTTGAAAGTTTGATATTATTTAGAAAATAAAAAAGATGAACGAATGCATGAAAACTAAGTTCTTAAATATTTAGTTCAAGTTTAAGATACTGCTCTTTTATGCAAAATCTAAATAAAATATGTTATATTTACTGTAACTTGATCTTTTTGAGACTCTATCACTGTGTATGAAAATAAAATATAAGTGTGCCAAGAGTGAAAAAAATATGAAGAAAATGGTATGTGTTACTTGCTTATCACCGACACGTCTCTGCCTAGTCCAAATAGTTATGACGTCTTGAAAGGCTATTTTGTTATTTGCTTTGAAGCAAAAAAATAAAATAGCCTTTCAAGAGTCATAATTATTTGGACTAGTCTCTGGCTCTGCCCTGGGAACAGTATATTTATATATATGTTCCTGTCTCTGCCTAACATCTGTTAACGTAGGTGCCAAAATAACTATGTCATGTGCTGAATTAACCAGGAGACGACCCAGAGACGACACGAAAAAGGGAAGAATTCTAAATAGCTGCAGAATCTGGAATGGAGAAATATTCTACATTTTGTACATAATCAATTATTCCCCCTTTTTTTTGCATGAGTTATCATGTCATGTATTAGTCCCAGTCAATATATTGAACGTTCTTTGTCATTCAAAACTAAATATTACAGTTAATATTAATAACAAGTGTCATAATGACCACTTGGACTTTCAGCAGATGTCAAATTGTCACGGTTTTGTGTATGCTGACAGAATTTATTTTTCTGGCACTTTCAGAAAAAAAAACATGGATACAAACCTTATCAGCGATTGACGGGTAGATTCAAACAGATCGATAATCAATGTTTGTGCAAAATACAATCACATTTCAATTATTATCAATCATCGTTATTGATTTCACATCAACAATCACAGTACAAGAAGTAAGAAGAGCAAAAATTATCAACATGCAGCTGTTTGGTGTATACGCATATTGTCACGTGATTTTATTTATTCAGTCGATTCGTCATTTTTATTTTGTTTCTAAATTAAGAATCGGACATGTGCTTCTTTGTTTACATTTATCAGCTGATTTTTGTGCGAGCCTTATTGTAAAGTGCGAATGTTTCACGTTTGCCATAATAAGTTGGTTGACCCTGTAACCTGGGAATAATACATAAATCTATACTGTAATAATACATTTTATCTATTGGTCCCAGCTGGGACCTCATATTATGATCGAGGTTCCACTAGTTGAGGACTATTGCCAACTGTTAACAGTATCATATATATTGGTCCTAGCAAGGAATTGTATATTTAATTTTAATTCCGTTAAAAAATCGATAAACTTTGACAAAAATATCGAATCAAAAGAAGAAAATTACTGACCCATTGACATTTTAACTTGGTGAAATTGCAACCCATTGATATATCAGTGAAGTATCAAAAAGGGACCCATTCCAGCGGGACGTCTGTGTTTACCTCAATTCATACTAACAGTATTATCATGAGTCCCAGAAGTAGTACGACAGGTGCCATGCCTGGAACAGGAGCTGATCGTCACCTTCCGGACCACCGTGTTATATAGAACGCCCGGTATTAAGGTGTGAATCGTGTTATTCAGTCTTTCAATGTACTGTTTTGTGTCTGCTATTTGTCTTTTCGTCATATTTCGTTCTGAATTGCTATATTTTGGCTCTATATGGTCTGGCTGTGGCTTCAGATCATTATAGTAAGGTAGAGACATTTAATTGAAGTATATGTCTCTGTATAAGGTGATCATATATTTAGATATTTTTGTCAAATTTATTTGTGTTTTACAACTATGTAAATCGTCCGCGTGGTAAATTACTTTGCCCACAGTATTCATGGTTTGCAGCGAGCGGTTGGTGTTACCGAAGTTCGAGGTTGGGATTTAGTCCGTATTTATTTCAACAGCGAGGGCATTTTCAAAAAGCCCGACCTTCACATTACAATGATTCTCAATAACACCGTTCATTTGTGCACTTTTACATTCTAACAATTAACGTTATATTGTATTTCTAAGCACTGTTATATCTGGGAATAGTCTTATGTCCCAGCAGAGACATATATGTCTCTGGTCCCAGGTTCTATCAAACTTTTTATAAATTAATCAAAACTGAGGTTTTATTTTAAGAAAAAAATGAACCTTGAAAGGTATTCAAAAATCAGAAGTAAGGTTATTTATTGTCACTCAAGTACAAGTTATGCATATGGTTTCGGATAATACTGAAATGATAGATTTTACAGAAATGTGTTTTTTTTTTTTTATCAAAATCGCCTGCAACAGTAATGGACAATATTTTGATTTCATAAATAATTGCAAAGATAATAACCATACCTCTATAGCAAACCGAACAAAAATAACAAAGAGCCAAACGACACCCTCATGAGCAAAATACTAGTACAGAGGCGGATTTAGGGGGGCATGCAGGGGGCCCGGGCCTCCCCTTTTGTTGGAAAAATATTTGGTTGATTACATAGGGAATCACTGAAGCATGACTGGAGCGGGCCCCCTCTTAGTCAGTCCGACAGTGGGCCCCCGCTTATGAAAATTTCTGGATCCGCCACTGTAGTATATCGTTTGCTTTCATCGTGTTCAAATTTAGAAAAATGCACGTTATATTTTATAAGAAGGATAATTCTACTATTAAAATCCATGTATAAATTGCTTTTTTTTCTAGACAATGCTTTTCTGGACTTGACACTTTTTGAGACGTAAAACTGTTTCCCAGTCATGGGCATGGAAAGTTTTCTCTACTGCACATGGTTTTAAATAATAGGTATTCTCTGATGATGATGCAAATCTGAGAGTACTATAACACATTAGTCTTAGTGCAAATAAAACATTTATGATACGTCACATATTCTGACTTACCCCTCTGAGAGTGTCGGTATCCCTTTCCATATTGGTGATGTACTTTTGCACTAATGATTTGAATGGCGTTTGTACATAACTGCTTAATTACAATTTTATTAGAGAAAACTTCATTTGCACACTAAAACACATTTCTACGTTTGACATATGAAACAAAGAACTCTAAAAATATACCGATGATACATTGCGTGTAAGATGGATAAATGCCAATAAATGTTTGATTTCAGTTACTTATAAGCTAGCTTTAGTGTCACAGCTGGGTAGAGTATGTTATTCAATCGAAACAAACAATATGGATTGTATGGAAAAGAAACATTACATCACATAATTTAACAGTTATTCTTGATGGATAACAATTTACTTTTTATTATGACAATTATCATGATTTTCGTTCAGTGGGACATTTAAATCATGAGATTGGCGTGACAGCCCAATGTTGGGTACATAGTTTATGATATTGCTAGATTGAAAACAAATGCTCACTCAACTGAAAAAGGTAAACAGAATGGTAAATAAAAGACATGACTTGTTGAACATTTCAAAGAAAATTCTGATATTTTGACAAATAAAAAGCAAAAAAAACCCCAAAAAAAACAAAAAACGACAACTTCAATTGATATTTTTTTACATGTCTAATTTATATAAGTAATTTGTTTGTTATTCTGTATAAATTACTTTTAAGGATGCTATATATATATAGTTTTAACGGGTGAAGCGAACCTCTTTAAAAACTTGACTCATATTTTCCATTTAAGCTGTTATCCTAATGCTAGCAAGTTAAAGGTTTGGTTGACTTTCTTGCTTTGTTTGTATAAATTTTTGCTCAAGAATTGTAATTAAAATTGACATCTGCTATCAATAGATAGCCGGGGCTTCAGCTTGTAAACATTACACTTATAAATTTTATTGGAAGTTAAGCAATGTATACAAGTTGAAGCCCCGCCTATCTATGCCGAATCTAACCGTGTATTTAGATTTTTGATATTGGACCAAAATAGGTTCAAGTCCAATTTCAAATTTTTATTCTGTGTAAGACACCTATGATGTGTCAAATATTTAACCACAATCCAAATTCAAAGCTGTATCAAGCTTGAATGCAGTGTCCATACTTGCCCCCCCCCCCCCTCAACTGTTCAGGGTTCGACCTTTGCGGTCGTATCAAGCTTTTATTAATCATTTTATTAACTCTGATATTGTCTTATGTGTATTTTATTTCATTGTACATTATTCATTGTATATGCTATTAGACTCATTAATAATCATAATGTGATTATTTAGTTAATTACAAATGTAAACATGTAATACAAATTGTGTGTAGTTTTCAATGGATTTTTTTTTTTAAATAATAATAATAATGATAATAATAATGCATGTAATAATAATTCTTTATCTAAAGAGGGTTACACCGTCAGCTGTAAAACTAATCTTCCCTGAGACCCTCATGAAATACATTGAAATATAACAAACAAAAAATTACAAAATAACCAAACAAATACACATTAGCTAATGTTTTAGGAATTAATACATCACAAACTTTATTCATTTTAATATTTAATTTCCATGAATGTTAAAATAAAAAAAAATCAAATAACTTCATTGATCCTGTCCTGGGGTGGTAATAGCAGAAACTGGACATAATCTTCCTCCATATTAACAAACTCAGTTTTTTTTTAAACATCTGTTTGTTAAGTAATATTATCTGTCCCTTTAACAGCAGGATATGACAGATTTACAGCTCTACTTAACCATTTTATAATCTAATAATGAACAGTAAATTTCAAACTATATGATGCTATATCTATTTTTACAATGACTACTTTTAATTGTGCAATGCAGCTCTGATTAAATATTTGATATAGCATAGTTTCTGACACAGAACGAATGTGGTCTAAGTACTTAAATAATATGAAATTGGACATTTACCAATTATGGTCCAATATCAAAAATCTAAATATATGGTTGAAATCAGAATATCAAAGAACCCCCCAGAATTCAATTTTTTATGAAATCAAACAAAGTTTTATTTTGGACCCTTTGGACCTCAATGTGGACCAAATTGATAACGGGGCACAAAATAAAAAAAAAACTAAATACACGGTTGGATTCATCATGTCAATGATCCCCATTTATTCAATTTTTGTTGAAATCAAACAACGTTTAGTTTTGGACCCCGATTAGAACCAACTTGAAAACTGGGTCCAAAATCAAAAATATAGATACACTGTTAGATTGGGCATATCAAAGAACACCAATAATTTTTTTTTTTAAATCAAAAAATTTGGACCTTAATGTGGACCAGTTTGAAAAGCGGGCCTAAATCAAAAATCTAAAACACGGCTAGATTTAGCACATCAAAGAACACCAATAATTTGATTTTTGATGTAATCAAACAAAGTTGAATTTTGGATCCTAATTTGGACCAACTTTGAAAACCGGGCCCAAAATCAAAAATCTAAAACACTGTTAGATTGGGCATATCAAAGAACACCAATAATTCAATTTTTGATGAAATCAAACAAAGATTAATTTTGGACCCTTTAGACCTTAATATGGACCAATTAAAAAAACAGGGCCCAAAATCCAAATTCTTTACACCTAGATTCATCATATTTAAGAACCCCAAGAATAAAAGACTTTGAATTAAACCCCATTGAAATTGGTCAAGAAATAAGCAATAATACAAAGTATTACAAAAGTATTGTTTTTTCTTAACCGCGTCAGGGTCATAACCACCAAAATCAATCCCAACCTTCCCTATAAAACCTTTTATCGCACCGCGGGTAAATTATTACGTTGTGATTGGTTTAACGCCGTCACGTGGTGACCCCCTATGGATCCGTAGGGGGTTGGTAAATTTCATAGTGGGTTCATGACGCCACGTCTACTGTTAATGGTGACGTCATCTATTGATGTTGTTGTATTTCATTGTTTATTTTTCTACAAAACGCTGCAGAAAAAGTCTCGCGTGCGATAAATTCGTTATACGGTTCACTACTGACCCCCTACGGACCATAGGGGGTGAATAAAATCCACAGGGGATTCGGCCTTCGGCCTCACCCCCTATGGATTTTACTAACCCTCTATGGATCCGTAGGGGGTCAGTAGCGAACCATATAACTTATAGTGGCACAATTAAATAGCAATCCATAGACTTATTCTCAAGCTAGTGTCCAGAAACCAGAAAATCTTAGTTTTTTTGGCCCTTTTCAGCCCCTAATTCCTAAACGATTTGGGCCATGACCCCCAAAATCAATCACAACCTTCCTTTTGAGGTATAATTTCATTGAGATCCATACACTTGGTTATGTTCTTCTCATATATTTTATGATGGTATGATACTAAACCCCTAACGGGAGGGATTGTGCTTGATTTTCATATGATGAAGACATAATCTTTCAATCTTCCTTTTGAGGTAAAATTTCATTGAGATCCATACACTTGGTTATGTTCTTCTCATATACTTTATGATGGCATGATACTAAACCTCTAACTGGAGGGATTGTGCTTGATTTTCATATGATGAAGACATAATCTTTCAATCAGTTTAATTGAGGTCTGGAGCTGGCATGTCAGTAACTGCTAGTAGTCCCTTGTTAATTTATGTATCATTGTCATTTTGCTTAGTTTCTTTTGTTACCTATTCTGACATCGGACTCGGACTTCTTTTAAACTGAGTTTTACTGTGCGTATTGCTGTGTGTTTGTTTATTCTACATTGGCTAGAGGTATAGGGGGAGGGTTGAGATCTCACAGAACATGTTTAACCCCGCCGCATTTTTGCGCCTGTCCCAAGTCAGGAGCCTCTGGCCTCTGTTAGTCTGGTATGTTTTTTTAATTTTAGTTCATTCATATGTTTTGGAGTTTGCTGTGACGTCCATTTTCATTGAACTAGTACAGATTTTGTTTAGGGGCCAGCTGAAGCCCGCCTTCGGGTGCGGGATTTTCTCGTTGTGTTGAAGACCCATTGGTGGCCTTCGGCCGGTTTTCTGCTCGTTAGTCGGGTTGTTGTCTCTTTGACACATTCCATATTTCCATTCTCAATTTTACTTATACACAAGTAATTGTCCTGAAACAATTAAAATACTTGTTTTTTGCACTTTTATAGCCCCTAATTACTAAACAGCTACAATAATAACCTTCAAAATCAATCCCAACCTTTCTATTATGGTATGGAACCTTGTGCTAAAATTTCATAGAGATCCATACACTTATATTCAAGTTATTGTCTGTGAACCAAAATGTCTTCGGACGACGACGCAGACATCGCCATAGCATAATACGAATGCACAAATTTTGCGGTTGATAAAAAAATTGATACCCTTTAAAACAAGTCATCTTCATGAAAGACATAACAGTATTAAATAAGACGAAATCTCAACATTTAATTAAAAGTTTACATCAATCTAATTGCACACGCAAATCACAGCAAGCTTAATTTTCTAAAAACCTGTAAGTTTACATTTCACTCAACAAATTTTCACAAAAAATATCCACATGTTTACTAACATTTGAATCAACATGATAAACATACTCACCTAGCAATTGTACGAATAGAACAGCCATGATTAAGTAACACCCCGAAAAATATCTGTTTGATAAGATTAAGTTGTAGAGTAGTGTAGAGAGTCGAGAACTCATAACTGTAGACGAATACAGTGATCTAAAAAAAAAGCTTATAAGAAAACAATCAAAGAGTTTTTTTTAACATTTCAGAATAGTTATTACAGCTATTAACAATACCATATACAATATATTTCATTTTCAAAAATAAAGTTTCCAGGGGCATGTACATTTAACAACTATGATTTTTCACAAAACATTCAGTATTCTCCACGCAGCATTCATATACATGTATATAGTCAGGTTATAAATAAATTCAAAATAGATATATAAGGGTTTGCCATTATATGAGACTACATGTTTCCTGACGATTGTAAGAGCACTAGCCAGAAGAACAGACCGACATATTTATATTTTCTTTAGAGGTTGTATGGGTATACGTATTCGAATTTATGGTTATATCTTTGAATCTTTCTTCTGTTTGTTAGGAAGTGCTTTAAATGCGCCAATCATAGCTACTCAGGGTGATATGGGACTTAAAAGTACGAAATCAGCAGAAATTTTGGAAATTTTTCGTCTTTTTCTTAGAGTGAGCAATTCTTAAGACACAAG